CTGATATTTCATCTGGTGTAAATGCTAAACGAGCACTAGAAAGACGTGAACTCGATATATATATATATGTATATATATCGAAGGTATTTCCATCTGGTTTCGAAAGATCGATGCACCGGTGGTGCGATGTAGTGAGAGCATGCACGAGTTCTGAATCACGTGGACCACGCAAAGTGATGTGTCATCGGAAATCTTGCATTGCAAAATACCTATCTCAAACCAAACACCTGAAACACCACCCGCCGATATTTCAAACCGTAGAACACCAGAAATCTAAAAACTTATACATTTTCAGAAAAAAATCTCATATATTCCTGTAAAGCTTGTAACTCAGAAAATAATAATAATAATATAATTGCATCACATATACCAAAGAAGAGAAGATAACAAATTTATATTAAGTTTTTAAACAAAAATTAATAAACTATTAAATGTTTTTGAATATTAAAAGTACATAAATGCTGTTTATAAATTTTAGCCAGACTTTTTTTAATTCGCGTTAAATTACTAAAGAAATAAAAAGAAATACAGAAGCTGAGAGAATAAGAAAAACCGTTGCTAGTCTATTATAAACTAAATATACCTGAATCGAATAATTTCCATTTAAATCAAATAAATTGTATTTGAATCAATAATTTCAGTATTTAAAGTAAATAACATTTATTCGATTTAAACAAAAATTATTTGATTCAAGTAAATATTTACTTTATTTCTCGGGAAAAAAAATTTAAAAAATTTTTAAAAACGTAACTTTTTACAATCTTTGATCTAAATAATATCAAAATCAATGAAAAAATAAAAAATTTTCATTAAAACAACTCATACAATCGAGGAAGCAAGAGAAATAACTAAAGACAGAGGAGTGATAAAAATATGAAGATGATTGAAAAATGATTAAAGCGCATGAGAAATAACTGGTTTCAAGGTGCGTTTCTTGATACCTCTTAAAGATGACATGCACAAAGAGTGGCAAAAGCTGTGATTGGTCTTCTCAACGGACACTGCAGACTCCTTCATTGGTCCCAACAAGTCCTAAACGATAATGTAGGTCACCAGAGCTGCTTTCTCTTCAACAGTCGAGACACGACCGGGAATTCTATTGCTTATACTTGTGTTCTTTTTCCTCGTTCGCAAACTATAGTTCTAACGCAAAAGAGCGCAATCGTTTCTTTCTTCCTTTTTTCAATCGGAATTTTATCAAATTCTTCAAGTTTCATGAATCGGTTCATCCAATCAATACTCATATTAAATATTCTCGTAAAAAATAGTTTCATTCACATGAATATTGACATTACAAACGGATATTAAGGGAACATTTATTTGACAAAAAGTGAAATTTATATATATGTACATTTTTTAAAGAAAGTATGAAAAAATCGTACGTTTACTGAAAACTTTTTATGAAAGAATAAAACTTGTTTGTAACTTTGCTTCACAGGCAAATAATTGTACAGTACAACATTATACCTATTAAAAACTTGTTTTTCAAATTATAATTTATTTCAGTTTTAAATTACATTACAATTTTTTCAGAATTAAATGTTTGTATTTAGTTTTATAAACATGTATATAAATTTGACCTTTTTTCTGATCAATGCAATAATAATCAAATTTTAAGGTTATTGTCGCTTCTAGCAAGAGATAAATAAGAAACAAAAAGTACATATTTCTCTTTTGACATTTAATCCAAATTTTTAATTTATGTTCGCTTTTTGACCTTTGGCCTTCTAAACATAAGCTAAAGTTTTTAACTATGTTTGTTATTCAGGGTTGCTACAAAAAATTAATTTTCTTTTTCCCTGACGTTTCCCTGATTTCCAGACAAAATTTTGACTTTTTCCCTGACTCAAAAGAATATTCTAATTCTCAAATCTTCATATTTTATAATAATTTAAATTTCTGTAAAATTTTTCAAAAAAAAATTTAATTATTTATAAAAATTTTAATTAAATCAATTCAATTATTTAAAAAAAATGTAATAAAATTCGTTGTAAGAATTCAATTAGCTATTATCATAAGTAATCAAACTTTTCCTAAGATTTAAATTATTTTTCATACAATTTTAAATGAATTCATCGAAAAATGTAATTATTTTCAAACATTTTTGCAAGAATTCAATTACATTTCACAAATAATGAAATTCTTCGCTGAAATTAAAATATTTGCAAAATCTACTATTTTAATAAAATTTCTCAAAAGAATTCAATTATTTTCATATATAATAAAATTCTTCACAGGATTTCAATTGTTTAAAAGAAATGTAATAAATATCGTTGCAAGAATTCAATATTGTTTTCCTAAATAATAAAATTCTTCACAGGATTTTAATTATTTAAAAGAAATGTAATAAAAGTTCGTTGCAAGACTTCAATTATTTTCCTAAATAATAAAATTCTTCTCAAGATTTCAATTATTTTTAATACAATTTTAAGTAAATTCTTCGAAAGATGTAATTAACTTAAAACATGTTATTAAAATTCTTCGAAAGAAATAAATGAACAATTATTTTTAATTTTTTATCTGAAATTCATTTTTAAAACAATTTTTAATAAAAAATTCTACGAGAATTCAATTTATTATTTAAATTCAAAAATGAAAAAATTATTGAATAAATTAATTTTTTTCAAAATTGAATTCTCATAAAGAGTTTTATCAACAAATTTTTTTAAATAATCGAATTTTTTCGACAAATTTTAATAAAATTTCCAAGAAAAATTACATTTTTCGAGAAATTTGGTTTAAATTGTGTATTAAAAATAATTGAAATTCTATGGACTTTTATTATTCATGAAAATAATTGAATTTTTGAAAAAAAAATTTATTATTTATGAAAATAATTGAATTATTGGGAAAAAATTTATTATTTATACAAATAATTAAATTATTACGAAAAAATTTATAAAAAATTTGTAAATAGTGTTGAATTGCTGTGAAATGTTTATTATTTATAAATAAAATAATTTTATTTTGGAGAAGAATTTTATTATTTTTAAAGATAATTGATTTGTAATTTCTTTAAAATGAATTTTTTAAGTGTTTTTAACTAAAATTCTTCTATAAATCCATGATTTTTAATAATTAAATAAATATATAGGGGAGAGTTGTTAGAATTGGGCATAGTTTTGACTTTTCTTCATAACTTCCCCTGTAGAACGAATTTCGCGATTTTGCGAATATTTTTGGAAAGATCAACTCAAATGCAATGTTTTTGCTGAACATCGGACCAAAAGTTTCAGAGTTATAAGCAATTTAAAAAAAAAATGTTGCCAGAGTTGATCATGGTTGCCAGAGTTGGGACACTGTAGAAAATCAATGAAATATTTAGGTAAATGATTAAAAATGACCTTCAAAGGACAGAATGACACTTGGGAATGAGGAAAGGAACCATGAAATTAAAATAAAATCCCATATTATGCATTTTCATATAACTTTAGATAATTTATTCCTCATAAACGAAATCCAGAATTGAAAAATTGAAAAAAGGTTATCAAAAAAATTTTTTTTCTCTCTTTCCAATGAAAATGGAGTTTTTAATACCTTTTTAAGTAAAAAAAATGAATTTCTGTTGCAAGTACGCTTTGTAATTGCAAAATTTCCCTCATGGCCCAACTCTGACTCACGCGTCGTTTTGCGCCATAGGGGCACAGAACACAAACGCGTGACACAAACACCAAATTACTTTACACATTTTCACATATCATTTTAATGAACAATTTCTATAAACTTATTTTGTCTTTGGCACATTTCTTCTACATTTAGTTCTCTTTTTTTGACACCACAAACAAATTTTTGCTGAGTCTATATCACAAAGTGGTACGATGGTCAAGTATAGGTTCGTATATGTAACTGCGACTCATATGAAAAGATGGCTGACATTAGTAGCAAGAATTTTCGTAAAAAAATAGATGGCGCTAGTGCGATAAAACGAAATAAACGCGGTGGCTCAACCCTAAACACTGCCCAACTCTGACAACTCTCCCCTATTAAAAAGTAAAATAAAATTAATTATAAATCCTGGAAATTAAATTTTTTTCACTACTTTTAATAAAAATACCTAACTTTTCCTTGACTTTTCCCTGACCTGTGGCAACCCTGCTATTAGTTAGATTTCAGAACAGAAACCTAAAATTTGAGGTTATATATGTATATTCACCTTTTAAGTTAACTTAAAAGAATTTAGGCTTAACATCCTTTGAAGATAATTTTCGTTTACGGACCTTTGACAATTTACCTAAACTTTAAGGTCCTACTCACTTATAAATATGAATATCTGGGAAGGATAATTGTAAAAAAAAACTTTTACTATATTTTTAAAGTGAAACCTAAATTTGCAAATAGCACAATTTGACTACAATATTTCCTCAATATTGATTATGTCAATGTTGACTCATCATGTTCTATATCTTAGCCATTGAATGTCTTTAAGATTTTTAAAAGATGTCTTGTTTACTTAGACTTTCATAGGTATTAAAAAATATAATTTTCTAAGTTCAACGTGGACGTCTTTTAAACGTTTTTGAATCAGACATACAATGTCTTATAAACGTTTTTTAACCCTTAAAGTACACACTGAATACAGATCGCCCCGGTGTTTTTTCAAATGCATTATATTTTTAAAATCATGCCTTTGTTTATTGTTTAATATTTTTTAACAAATTAATTTTATATCATCAAAACTATATTTTTCATATTCCTCAGAACATTTCGTATCGATTAAAAAAAACGACTAAATTTCATTAATTTGAGACAAAGATATAAGGGTTTAAAGTATTGCTGGGTACAAATCGCCCTTGTGTGTATTGAACGTAAGTTTTTGAAGTGTGTACTTTAAGGGTTAAATGGCTTTGTTTCCCAGATAATACCATTAAAGGTCCCAAAAAAATAGACGTTTTTTTAGTATACTGTATACATAGGTATGGAGATATATATTCTAAGATGAAATAGTCTTGGATTTTGAGAGGTATGTTTTGCTCATCGAAAGTAATCTTGTTTGATCACAGTGCGGAAGCGTGCTCTATGCTCAACTGGAAATCTGGAAAACAGCAGTCGAGGAATCACCAAGAAATACCTTGGCCGCTTCGTGGAGTCCGGCAGGAGTTGTTCAAGCGCCAGGAAGTGCAAATGGAGGTACAACTTCTTCCGCATCAAGTACTGGTCCAGCCAGTGTCAAAGGATCCTGTTCCTTGGATTATTCTGACGGTAAATCATCAAAAGAATTAATAATTTATTTCCCTTTCAATATTTATTAAACTTATTTTTATCAAATTCTGTAGAGTTAACACAACTTGTTCATTAAAAATTTTAATGAAATAGGGATCATTGTAAATTACAGTTTATCTTCCAATCTGCAAAATAAAATTTCTTTTGTTGATTGCAGATGAAGATGAGGATTCCGGATCGATTCAAGCATCATCCGGTGGAAAAATGCGAAATGGCGGCTCACACATACATCTTTGGCAATTTCTCAAAGAACTGCTCCAGAGTCCCGGAGTGCATGGTTCATGTATTCGTTGGCTCGATCGCAACAAGGGTGTCTTTAAGATTGAAGATTCCGTTCGCGTTGCAAGGCTCTGGGGTAAACGAAAGAATCGTCCTGCAATGAATTATGACAAATTGAGTCGCAGCATTCGACAATACTACAAGAAAGGTATCATGAAGAAGACAGAACGCAGCCAGAGGTTAGTCTACCAGTTCTGTCATCCCTATTGTCTTTAATATATCTCCAAAAAATAAACATCGAGAACTAGCCATTTCATATCAAATTTGAATCATGTCTCGAACATTTTATCTTGAATTAGGATTTGAGCTTCTTGAGTCACAATTTAAAATTGATTTTGAAATCAGAGGCAAGTTTTTGATTCTTTCATTGCCGGGGATAGACTTCTTTATATATTTCTCCTCGATGCAAATCAAGTTCCCACATAAATCCAAAGGAAGCTGTCTTCTTCATCTCAAAGATCGTCTTCGTCTAATTTCATTTCTCGATCTCGATTCGATCTCGCGTCGAATCTTTAAATGGTCAAAGATCAAACGATACTACAAGCGTATATCCAATAAAATTCATCCAATTGGCGATCTCGAATCTAGATTGAGAATCAAGAGCTAAATCTAGGCTTCCGAGTCTTTTCGCAATGTGGAAAGAATTCAAGCAAAATAATTGTATGTCTGCGTTTAACGAGTGTCTCTATATTTACGAATTGTTATCTTTTTGTACAAATAATGGGAAAAAGGAAAATTTCGCAGTATGTATGTCGTGAGTGAATTGATAATTTCGAAAAAAATAAAGTGTTGTTTTTTGTAATGCGGAGGTCGCCAAAAAGAATCCGCCGAGTTTGCATTATTTTCGAGAATAATGTCAAACGACGGTCGGGTACCAACGTGTACGCCCGGTTTGGGCGCTTAATTAACGCAATCTCGTTCTTCATTCCTTATCGATTTTTACGATCGATCCAGGCTGCTTATATTGCTAAAAAGCACAACCTTGGCTTTTCTCAAGTTTCTAGAGGGTAAGTTGTTGTTAATAACGCGCGAGAGCTCTATAAAAAAAGCAAAGATACACCACACGCTGAACAACTTTCGTAAGATCGAATCAGGAGGTACGTCCTGTGAAGATTTTAGAAAAAAAATACATTCAGCTCATGACTAATCATTAACATCCAAAATATAGAGTCTCTTCTTGCGTTTGCTTGCTGGTTTCATTCGCGGAACATTCTGGCCCACTCTTCTATGATCTTAGCGCGCGGAACTATTCGCTGCTGCTTGATCAACACTTCTGATCTCCAAAGTCTCTCCTTTTTTCAAATCAATAAATAAATTTTCATTTACTTTCTTTATTTTTAGAGCTTTAAATCAAATCTCATTAAATTAATACTATAAAAAATCTTATTTTAAGAAGAGTCTGAAATTCAGTACTCTTAATTAGTAGAGAAAATTTTTTTGCATAAATCTATTAGACTGCCTAATAAATTAACTATCTTAAATTAATTTTTTTTACCCTCTCTCCGCGTTAAAATACAATTTTTATTTTACTGCGAATGAATAACATAACTTCTAAAAATTTTAATTAAGTAAATTGAAGTAATCATATAGTGTAGAGTAATAATTTTAAATGGTATTTCGAAGTATAATACTTTTCTCTAAAAGTTCAAAGAAGTAAAATTAAATTACTTATATATTTTCAAAAATGATTTTTATTTATCTTTTTTATAACAAAATTTGAAATTTTTAAGTTCCAAAAAATGTATTGAAATATTACAGAAAAAAGGTGTTTATAAAATGGGTGAGACATTAAATAATAAATTTAAAGAAAAGCAGTAAAAATTTTACGCGTATTTGATGACATTAATGATCTATAAAACCTGACTTTGTGGCAATGAAATAAACGATATGCAAATTAATATCAAAAATTGTTTTCACATTTAAATCTTTGATTATTTTAATATTTTTCATTAAAATAATAGTATTAATAATATTATTGCATTATTAATAATATTATTATTTGTCATATATTATTAATATCGATTCTATTAAATATTTATTTTCATAAATTGCAAAAATGAGAGATTTTGGAAAATTAAATGTGTTAGGAGGAGATAGAATATGCGATTGAGACCGGTGATATTGGTCCCATATATCTATGATATATTAAACATTGTATGTTCTATGAACGATTAGTATTTAAGGAATATTTAATTTCTTAGTTTTTCAGACTCACGTGAGTCATTTCCATTGTTATATGATGCTAAAAAACCTATTATTATAACTTTATGATTAATACTGAAATATATATATGATGGATTGTACGTCATTTAATCCAGGACTTATGTTATCAAATTGTAAATGTCATACAGAAATCTAAAATTTAAACCCTTTCTAAAATTTGGAAATTACTGAAAAAAGCAATAATACTTAGTATTTGAAGATATATCTTAAGTTAGCGTATATTTCACTCCGATCCCATGAATTTTTATTTTTTCTCGGATCACTTGACGTTAGATCCCCGATTTATATTTATATCGTCAATATAATATTTGCAATAGAGGTGCTTTACTTTCGTATCTTTCAATTATTTAAATAAGAGTTTAATCTAATTCTTCTTAAAATTGATTGAATTCTTTTTAAAGTTGAAAATAATTTTTAATAATACTATACTTTTACTTATTTGAAATTATTTAATTTTTGAAAAATATTTTATAACATATTTTTATAATTACTATAATGATTTATTTATGGTTTTTAATTATTTATATTTGTATTTATATAAAAAAAATTTCACTTTTCCGGACAGTAAATTATTTTTTTTTGCTAATCAAGATTTTTAAAAAATATTTATAATTTTGTTGTATTATTATTATTTTATTATTATTGTTATTATTGAATATTGAAATTCAGGAAAGTGGGAAAATTGTCTAAATTTTGTTTTATGAGAGTAGAGTATGTTGATTGGAAAAAAAATGTTAGAAAAGAACGTAGTTTTTTTTATTTATTTTCCAAAAAACATAGCCCTTGGAAATTAATTAACTTTAAGGTTGATAGTTTCTCGAGCGACCAGGTCTGTATCAGGTATTTAATTAGTACTTTTCATTGGTTGTTTTTTGTACTTTTGTATCGCTCCCTCCTCCTTCTCCTCTTCTTGCCTCTTTGCCACCTCGTGTATACCAAACGCTCTTGTACATAAACGGATTTATTTGACATTGGTACGCACGTATTTATTGTATCACTAAGAATCTCTAAACGACACGATTCCAATATACACAAGGTGGTCGTGTACTCTCTTTACCAGTCCTAATAAGAGGTTCTTTCTTCTTTTCCCAAGTAGTGGCTTTTTAAGTGCGTTTACATAATGGGATCATAAAGCACCTTTCGGTACCAACATTTTTTTACAACACATTTCTTCTTTTATGCATAACTCATTCGAAAAAAGATAACAATTTTTTTATCTTCCTTTTTTATATATATTTACTTGTAGTTTTAATATTTATTTTATTTTTTCTGCATTTTTTGTAATTATACTTATTTAGAATGTAGAAGAAATTATGTTTTGAAGCATGATTTAAATAAGTTCTCAACAATATAATTATTTTAATTTATTTCATTAATTATTAATATAATTTAATTTTGGATGTAATAACAACTCTAGAAATCGTGTAGTGGGAGTAGAGAAGCCTACATGTAGTTCTCGCTCATTCTATTGGCTACTCTTCAAGGTCATGAAATGAAGACCAATGGGCAGGATTTTTATATAGTTGCTACAAATGTGGTTATTACATCCCAACCTTAGAATTTTCTTTTCTTTTATTAATTTACTACAACAATTTATTAAAATTTATGTATTACCATACTTCGTACCTAAATTTTAATTTCGAGGTAGAACTTACTTGGTTTAATTTCAATTTTTAATTAAAAATATTCTATTTAAAAAGTGTTTGTTTCCATATATTTATATATTTTTTAAATCTCTCTTTTGATGCACTTATTAAAAATTGCAATTATAATTAAAGTTTAATTTCATTTAATTTTCGAAGGTAAAAGAAAAAATGTGCTGTAATAATTTCCCTTTAAAGGTACCGAGTGCAATTTTAAAGCAATGAGGTATAGTATAAGTTCCAAAGTACATATTGTATCGTATATTCTATAAATAAGAGAAAGTTTTCTTTTTCTTTTCAACTTTTATCACATAAATTTATTTATTTCAGAGCATTGATATATAGTAAGCGATTCGTTTTTAAATTGCAGAAGATGTTATTTTTTTAACCAAAAAAACTTTCTATGACAAGTGTGCGAATTCACTCATATATACATATATACATATACATAATGTGCACATAAATTATAAAGCGTACACGTGCGTAGAAATTAAATGGAGATTATATTGTTCGTATACTAATTATGCTAGTAAATTGAGGATATATTGTATATCGTATAATGTTTTTTACACATTTAGATTTTATGAAACATTATCGCACATGTATGTATGAGTATACTCATTTTGGTATATATGACCGTAATGAGATTTTATTTATATATATGACGGGTTCCACGTTAAGTGACCCAGGTCAAAATTTTAAATGTTTGGGATCGGGTAAAAATTTTGCAAAAACAGTAGTCCTATTAGATACAATTAAAAATACCAAATATTATTAATTTATTTAAACAAATATAAAAACTGGAGGGGGTCAAAGTTTAAATTTTTGGTCTAACATGGAATATTTGAAAAATTTGTAGTTTCTTTAAAACAAAACGAAAATACGTTTTCTATTTTGGGTTTTTCTGCTGTTTTTCAACACTTTCTAACGGTGTAAACAAATGTAGAGAAAAAAAAATGTTTGACCTTGAAAAATTAAATTAAAAAATAAAATTTCATTTTTTCATCAAATGGACAGTTTTTATTTTAAAAAAAAAAATTTTATCATAAAGGTGAGGTTTTTTCCTAAAAAAAATGTATAGGTCAAAACGTGGGACAAGAACTTTTAACTGGTCAAAATAAACATTTACTTCTGCAATCCACCGCCCCTGCTCGTTGTTGGGCTATATATTGTTTATAACAATTGAAATAAATTATTTTATGCTTTATTAATTATCTGGTGGTCATATTGGATGAATTTAAATTTATTTAGATCATGTGCATCAACGGAATAAGAAAATAAACCTCCTTTTTTAAAAAAGTGTATTAATTTGTTAACTTTGATTTAAAAAAAATTATAAATAATTAAAATCTCCAAAATCGGCCTCGAAGGATGTCTTAAGAATTTATTCCCCTTTAATTTAAGACAAAGAACACTCAAATCGGTTAAAAATTGTAAGCTATAGACATTTTTTAATAGTAAATTGTAAAAAAAATTCCACTGTGGGACGGTGCACGGCAGAAGTAAATGCTTAATTTGACCAGTTAAAAGTTCTTGTCCCACGTTTTGACCTATACATTTTTTTTAGGAAAAAACCTCACCTTTATGATAAAATTTTTTTTAAAAAAATAAAAACTGCCCATTTGATAGAAAAATGAAATTTTATTTTTTAATTTAATTTTTCAAGGTCAAATAATTTTTTTTCTCTACATTTGTTCACACTATTAGAAAGTGTTGAAAAACAGCAGCAAAACCCAAAATAGAAAACGTATTTTCGTTTTGTTTTACAGAAATTACAAATTTTTCAAATATTCCATGTAAATTTTTGACCTGGGTCACTTGACGTGGAACCCGTCATATATATATATATATAACGCTGCAATTGTTATTGTTCGTTATGTACCGAATGCTAACAAATAAAAACAAATGATTATAAAAACAACAAAAAAATGTAATAATAATCTAAATTATAATAAAAAAATGTAAAAAATTATATTTATGAAGTATTTATTCCTTCCGCTTTTCCATGTGTCAACCATAATATTACGTCAATATCTAATGTTTAACAAGTCAAGTAAACTTATAAATTTTTAATTTAAATTATTTATAATTTATCTGTTTTAAACTGTAAACAAACAAAAATCGCAAAAAGTTATAAATTATTTTTCTACTGCATAAAAATACTTTTAAGTTTTGTATTTTATTGAATATTTAAGTTTTCTAGGTCTCTATAATTGTAAGAATTGCAGTGAGCGAAAGTAAAGTCGTAGCAAAAGTCCTTGAGTGAAAGCCTCTCTTATGGATAATTGCATTCCAGATATTGGATATGATGAATCATTGAATGAACGTAATATTCTTTGGTCTGAATTATTTTAAATAAACTTATTTGCAAAAAAATAAACTGAGCGTAAAGTTATCGACCATCAATTTTATGTAGTCTCTAATAAAAATTCTTTCCGAGAGCTAAGAATTCTGCCGATCGACATCTTTACATTTTTAAGGAGCTTCTGTCGTTAAAATCTGAAGAGAAGTTGGTTTCTTAGAAATTTTCTTATAATAAATATTTTCAATGTCATGAAATATTTAAATTCCTCAAATATAATATAAGCTTTTGAATTAAATAAAATATTGATAAGTTTTTAAATAAAATTATTGAAATTGCATAATAATAAGTAATTCAAAAAAAGATTAATATTGGAGTAAGAAAAATAAAATTATCAGTAGGTGAAATAAATTTGCATTTTCGAAGATCTTAATAGTTAACAAAATTTAGTTAAGAACGATTATTTACAATACATAATATAGGTGTCAGACAAAAACACAGGCTTGAAAAATTTTGGTAATGTCTGTTACATAAAAAGAGGAGTTGATTCTTACAGATATTTTGACGTTGAATTCGAATCTGACCTCCAAAATGGCCTATCACATCAGGATTTTCTGTAATATTAGAGGTTGAATGGGCAAAAAATGTCCATTCTGGACATTTTTATAAATTTTTTGTTTATAACAAATGTAATTGTTTATGCTTATAAATTTTTTAAGTTTTTGAAAGAACGTACATATGATATAAACATTTAAAGTTTAAAAAATGCCGAAAATATTTACAGATAGAAACTTGATTATTGTTCATATAATTGTTAATAACAATGATAATTATTAACTTTAAAATATTTGTTTACCAAAATAGACATTAATTACCTACTTAAATAAATATAAATTTGAACTTGACTGCAATAAAAAAAAGTTTTTTATGAAAAAGGACCAAAGTTATCTATTTGTAATTAAGGGGGCATTCTGAGTCTTTTGCACGTATTTTGAAGAATTTTTTTTTTCATAGTGAAATTTATTTAATCATTTTAAAATTTTTACATATTATTACACATATATTAAACTAAATAAAAAAAATTTTTCTATATTTTTTGTTGTTAATAGCAAAGAAATGGTGATTTGAAAAAAAATTTCGAAAATCTGGTTGACATGATATCTTTAATAAAAACAGACGGAATCAAAAAATCCAAACGGATTATTAAAATATAGGTAAGCCTGAACTAAAATCATAATTTTTAAATAATTTTTAACCTGTTTTGTAAACAATTTTAGTTGCAAAAGAAGGGTTAAAAAAGTAAAAAGTCCGCCATTTTGTTATTTTTCAATGAAAATTTTTTATTTTAGTTCAGACTGTAACCACTTACCTATATTTTAATAATCCGTTTGAATTTTTTGATTCCGTCTGTT